ACCACTGACGGATACACTAACCACTGACGGATACCCTAACCCACTGACGGATACCCTAACCCCACTGACGGATACACTAACCCACTGACGGATACACTAACCCACTGACGGATACACTAACCACTGACGGATACCCTAAACCCACTGACGGATACCCTAACCCACTGACGGATACCCTAACCCACTGACGGATACCCTAACCCACTGACGGATACCCTAACCCACTGACGGATACCCTAACCCACTGACGGATACCCTAACCCACTGACGGATACCCTAACCCACTGACGGATACCAAACCCACTGACGGATACCCTAACCCACTGACGGATACACTAACCCACTGACGGATACCCTAACCCACTGACGGATACACTAACCCACTGACGGATACCCTAACCCACTGACGGATACACTAACCCACTGACGGATACCCTAACCCACTGACGGATACACTAACCCACTGACGGATACCCTAACCCACTGACGGATACCCTAACCCACTGACGGATACCCTAACCCACTGACGGATACACTAACCCACTGACGGATACCCTAACCCACTGACGGATACACTAACCCACTGACGGATACACTAACCCACTGACGGATACCCTAACCCACTGACGGATACCCTAACCCACTGACGGATACCCTAACCCACTGACGGATACACTAACCCACTGACGGATACCCTAACCCACTGACGGATACACTAACCCACTGACGGATATCCTATACCCTAACCCACTGACGGCTACCCTAACCCACTGACGGATATCCTATACCCTAACCCACTGACGGCTACCCTAACCCACTGACGGATACACTAACCCACTGACGGATATCCTATACCCTAACCCACTGACGGATACCCTAACCCACTGACGGATACCCTAACCCACTGACGGCTACCCTAACCCACTGACGGATATCCTATACCCTAACCCACTGACGGATACCCTAACCCACTGACGGCTACCCTAACCCACTGACGGATACCCTAACCCACTGACGGATACACTAACCCACTGACGGATATCCTATACCCTAACCCACTGACGGCTACCCTAACCCACTGACGGATACCCTAACCCACTGACG